GTCCTTCAGGATTGGGTGGCATATAAAAACTCCAAATAAAATAAATAAATAAAGATGAATAAATAAATGTAGTAGGTCCTGACAGCATTCTTCCAAATATTAGTTGCAGGGAAATAATAGTGAGAGAGGATTATGTCTTCAATTTATTTACAAGTGCCCCAGAAACAGCTAGTGCTATAAGAAACAAAATTCTGGGTAAAATGCATCTCATTCTGATCCAGAACAGAATGGATCATTAGCCTAATCCAGCAGAATTATGTGGGTAATGTTATACTTATGTTATATCTATTATTTTCCTGCCGAAGTGGTGCCTGTATATATAGTTGCAGTTTTACATGCTTTTGAACTGTTAAGTTGCCAGGGCAAATAATAGGAGTTCACTTCATTACTCAGTGGTAAAACTCGAACCTCTGGAACATAGTGTTCTGACCTAGGGTTCACAAAATCATGAAACAGACTCCTTGTCCTGACAAAACCCATTTTTATTAAGCTAATTCTCTCATTCACATCCAGCAAAGTTCCGGCAAAAAGATTTTCAAGGGTGAATTTACAACCACAGACCTTATCAGGCTTGGAGAGCTGCCAGGCTGATATCTTCCAAACACAATGCTGTACCAGAAAATATTTGGCAAGGAGTCTCTGAGAGTCACGAACAAATCTTCACATTAATTAAACTAATTGTCTCCTGCAAACTCCACTCCCCTTTCACTCCTTTTTATTCCCTTTGAGAGGGGCCATTCACCATCCACCTGTGCCTTTACTCCTGAGTCAGCCCTTGTTCCTTAACTATTTCCTTCTCTTGGCAGCTCTGTGCATGCGCACATCGGGAACAGGCTTCAGCTGTTCTTCTGTGCCACTGATCTCCAACTCCCAAGGCATCTGATAACTCTCAGATGGCCCTGGTCCCATCTCTGCATCTGACACAGAGCCCTCATCAGAGCATTCCCCAGACTCCAGGACTGGCCCATCTTCCTCCCCAACCTCCTCACTGTCTGAGTCTGCCGCCAGCTCCACCGGCCACTGGCAGGCCACAACACATAGACCTTCTCTATTGTCTGTTAAGTCATGAGCCACCATGCCATAAGCCAGGCAAACTCCCAGCCCGCAGGCGAGATGTCTTATGCGCTGGCTACACCCACGCCTGTTTAGCAAAGGTGGAAAAAGTCCCAATATGTCATGTGACAATGTGACAATGTGATGGTACAATGAAGTGATGATGTGACTTTGACACCCCTGCCATAAGCTCTGCATTGTGGTGTGATATCATGCTAGCCACATGATCTTGGAATTTTCTTTGGACAGTGCTGGCTCAATGGCTTAAAGAAACACACACACACACACGCACACACAAACACAAACACACACACACACACACACACACACACACCAAAGTTAGCTACGACTAGCAGAGTAAAACCTGCAGGGACACCTTTATGCTATATCTATTTCCTAAGAAAACAGAAGTTAGGAACATCTGCTATAATTGTGCGGTGCTTCAGATTAAAGACGCAAAGTATTTCACAACTCACAGAAGAATAAATATAGCATCTCTCTGCAACTACTTAAAGCAGACTCATGTTTTTTCCAGGATCACTATATCTTCTACATTTGTTCTATTGTTTAGGGCAGGATTCCCAAACTGTGGAGTGTACTTCCCTTGGGGAGGTGCAGACCGAGTTCAGGGGGATGCGAAGAACCTTTTAGTTATATGTTGTTACATTAAACCCACCTCTCCCAAAGTTTCCCTGTATTTTTTTCAGTCTTCATATGTGTTCATTCTGGTCTTTGGAGTTTTAGGTGATATTGCTGCATTAAAATTACACTGAAGGGAGGGGTGATGGTAAAAAGCTTAAGAACTACTGGTTTAGGTCAATTTTTTTTAAAGATCACTAGAGTGTAAGAGCATCAGGAACTGAGTAAAGGTTAAAACAAGAAAGCATTTTAAGAATCTTCCCAAAATGATATTATAAGCCACAGGGATCCATGTACAGTATACGCATTTGGACTCAACATTAAATAGACAGGGAAACTTTTTTGCCATTTCATGAAAGGACCAAGAGGAAGTAATTTACCTGGTCCTGGAGAAAAGATAAGATAGCCCTCTGGATAAAAGTAAATAGAAAAGGCCTTTAAAAAAGGAAAGTATGCTCTACAATTAGTTTATGCTTATAAACTTAATAAGAAGACCATTTTTAAAAAGACAGTTTAAATGGAAAACCCAGTGCCTAACTTGGAGGCAGAACACCAGACCTAAGGAAAATAAACAGTGAACTTTTTCTTTATAGTATAATGATATTAATTTACTTAAACAATTGGAAGGGAAAAAGGATAGTGTTTCAGTTAAAACTTTCCTCAGATAAATCATCTGTGAATGAATTTATCACACCATCTGTTGGAAATAAATCATGCAGTCCTCAAGGCCACAGAGAAAACTACAGCCATAACCCAGGCATTTAAACAGAAATAACTGGTCTGAATCCCTTAATCCTTATAGCACTATTTACCTTTACACTTAGAAAAAATTATTTGATCTTGAAAGCGAAAACATGAATTATTTTGTGCTTACAATTATGAAATCTATTCTAGAAACCCAGTGTTAATCTCCTTCTAAAACATATAATCCAAAGATTGCTTTAGGTATTACCAGTACAAACTATAAAACACATACATGAATTTACATGGAATTACTTTCAAGACAAATTTGATTTCAATCTGTGTTTATTCTTTAGAAATTGATATTCAACTATAAGATCTAATTAACTGGGCAAAAAGTATTCCTCATCATACCATTCAATTCTTTTAAGTGAGAAGAACCTAAATCACATATAACCCAACCAAAACAGAATATTCTACACATATATAATCATTTGCTTTTTACTAGCAGGTATACTTGCCCACTGATTTTTAACTAGATTATGTAGCTAAAATGTAATTATAAAAATAGGAAATATGCATATTAGAAAAAAAATCCATTATCTATCCACCACTTTCGCCAGTCACTTTCTGATAAAATATTTGTATGACTACACTCAAATATTAAATTATTAATTGTTTATGTTGTGTTCTGCTATGGATCTTCAGTGTTCTGTCCTTGTTTCTCAGTCTGAGTTTCTCAGTCTCAGTGCAACTGCAACTCAGTTGCAAACCCATAGCAATTTATCTTTCTTTATGTTTTCAAGTCAGTGAAAATGGGGAAGCCTGAGAAACTAAAGACTGTTGGTGTGAATATTCTCCAGTATTTTTCCACAGATGTCTTTTGGCTCTTCATAACAAAAATTGACGAAAGGGGGTCTGAAATTTCACTTGAATTTAAATCTAAATTATTTTCCATGAAATAAAATGAGAATGATTGTTGGTTGTTTCAAACTTCCGTCTATCCTTCCATTCTAGAATGTCTTACCCGATCCAATCCTGCTTAACATCTTCAAGATCAAGCAAGATCAGCTAGGTGATAACAGAGTAACAGAATAACAGAGTTGGAAGGGATCATGGAAGTCTTCTATACCCTATTCCTATACCATTTCAGACAAATAGTTGCCCAATCTTTTCTTCAAAGCCTCCATTGTTGGAGCATTCACAACTTTTGGAGGCAAGTTGTTCCACTGATTACTTGTTCTCACAATTTCTTAGTTTTAGGGTGCTGCTTTCCTTGATTAGTTTCCATCTATTGCTTCTTGCCCTGCCTTCAGGTGCTTTGGAGAATAGATTGAACCTGTCTTCTTTGTGGCAACCCATGAGATATTGGAACACTGCTATCATGTCATCCATAATTCTTCTTTTCATTAAACTAAACAAACACAATTCCTGCAGCTGTTCTTATATGTTTGAGCCAGCGGTGGGATTCACTTACCTTCCCTGCTGGTTTGCAAATGTGAGCGCATATGCCGTGTCTGCGCAGGTGCACCGCCTTCTGCGCATGCACAGTGCTTATACCTTACGTCAGTGCAGGTGGGTGGAGCCTCCTGCAGCCACCACTATCAGTTCACACGAACTAGAGAGAACCACTGAATACCACCTTTAGTTTGACCCTCTAGTTCTCTAATAATCTTTGTCTTACCAAAGCATTATAAACTGTCAAGCCAAAATAGATCAGGCAGAATGGAGTGTTCACCTGGACCTTCTAGCTACTCCCACTACGGTTTGGGCTGCCAATCCTGGACCTGTTTGCAACAGTGGACAACAACCAAGCCCCCAGGTACTATTCAAGGTTTGTGGACCCCAATGCAGAAGGGGCAGACGCTCTCAGGTGCCAGTGGCTCAGGGGCCTCCTATATGCATTTCTGCCACTCCCTCTCACCCAGAGGGTAGTACAAAGGATGTTGGAACAGGAGGCAGAACTCTTACTCATGCGCCCCACTGGCCGTGCCGACCTTGGTTTGCCGACCTCGTGACACTGTCGATCTCCCCTCCATGGCGCATTCCACAGTCACTAATTTCTCTTCATCAGGGGTCAATCCTACATCCCGACCCCCAGTGACTGCAATTAACCACATGGCAATTGAGCGGCAAGCCTTAACAGCTGATAACATCTCCCTCAATGTCATTGCTACTATTCAGGCATCTCATAGAAATTCAACGAACCATATTTATGATGCCACGTGGCGAGCATTTGCTGTCTGGTGTTCTAACCTCACTATTGTACTAACATTTCAGGTGATCTTGATTCTATCCGTCTGTTAACATGTGGATAAGATGTTTGAAAGTGAGACATATGAAACAAAGGAAGCTGTTTAAAAAATAAGCTATTGATGGTGCAATACCTAATCCATTGGAAAATGCTTCTGAATATAGAGATCTTATTTCCTATATAATTTCCTGCTTTTTCAGTGTATGTCCCTTATGTATTAAAGATCTCCCTCAGTCTTAAAAAAAAGCAAAGGAAAGAGTCAGTAAAGTTTTTTAACAAAAAAGAGAGGAAAAGGCAGTCATTGGCTCTCTCTGATCTGTCTTGTGTATTTCTACTGATGTTCAATTGTAACGGTCCTTGTCATAACACATACCTTTTTCTGTAGAACATTAATTTTTCTTTCTTTAACTTCTAACATGTCCTTCATATCTCGAATTTCTCCAGCCAGAGTTCCTTTTTCTTCTGTGAGGTCTTGCAGTTGTTTGGTTTTTTTATTAAGAAAACTTTCTTTTTCTTCTAAACGTAATCTCAAGGCATCAACCTATAATAAAATATGAATATATAAATATACAGAATAATTGCAAAATATCACAACAGTAAAGCCATTTTACATATGTAGTAATTTTACAACATACAGAAAACAAAAGCAATAACTCTTGGTTGTAGATTTTCAAACTGGAAAAAACAACCAATAAGATAATGTTGCAAAAAATTGGGGAAGTACCATTTTTTAAGCATTCCAAAAATGAAATTTTAACCCATGATTAATATGGAGAAACAAAGTATTCTGTAATTCTGTATTATCTGGTATAAATCTAGAGACAATAGGATCAAAACTTTTATCAACATTTTTTAAATGTCCAGTTTTGAACTCAGTGTGATCATTTATCCATATTTATTGTAACCATCTTGAAATAACGTACAATGTTAAAGGATCATTTGAATTACAACCATGTCATATTTTACTAAATAATAACTGCGCAAGATGAATTTCACATGCTTTGTTAAATGCTTTAATAAACAAGTCAATGCTTCCATGGCACAAAAAAGCAGACCAGTAATGCTATTTATGTTAATTATATCTTCTTCATTTTGGGAACAGCATGTTGTCTAGAGAGAAAAGTCTGTGAATAAAACTGATTTATTCTAATTTTTTGCATTGAGTTTTGTAATGCTAAACTTGTTCTGGGGAAAAAAAACATATTTCCAAATCTATTTTTGCAAATCAATTTGGGACCAATTAGGATGATCTATTCGATCTCAAGATGCGTGTTCCTTCCTGTTCCTGCAATGGCTCAGTTCATCTCTGTACTCAAGGGAAAAGTTATATACTGTGTTGAATGGAATTTAGACATTTTATTATTAAAGGTTCCTGACAAGGACACCATCACATGTGAGTAAGAATCATTTCTTCATTTTTGTTATAACAGGGAAAGAAGTCCCAAAATATTGACTTTAGAAGACATAAAAATACCATCGTTATTATGATGAAATGAGATTGACATAAGTGATGATCAAGAAGCAAACAGGTGAGACTGCAAGTGGAAAGATAAAATGTATTCCTCAAATAAAGTGAAAACATGAACACACTGCCACTGAAAATGACTAGCCAATTATTTTCAAAGCTATTGCAAGCCTTTAATTGATATTTTTCCCTAAAAATTGAAAATCAACTATTCTAAATTAGTCACTTATATCCTTTTTGAAGTATGCCATCATTGGAAAAAGAAAAAAAGAAAATTAAAAAATTGATTAAATACATTTTGAAACATTTTTGAGGTTTAATTGACTTAAGCTCTAAAACAAAAATACTTCAGAGTGTTTTTTTTTCCGTTCATTAAGTTCTCTGCCTCCCCCCCCCCCAATCTTCCTTTAAGCCTAACAACGATGGGCTGGGTTCACCAACCACATGAATTATGGTTTGCTTTAATCATGATTTGAATAAGTCATACTGGCTTATGTCTTGATTTATATATTACAGTAAGCCATAATATAATACATCAAGTAACCACAATGTTTGGCATCACACAACTTGTTAATTCAAAAGTAAGGAAAATGTAGTCTTAAGGCAATGTGTCTTCCCATATGCTGTTCTCAAGTAATTTCAGGTTATTTACAACCTATTGTAAATCTCTCATCAAGAATAATCAGCTCAACAAGGAACTCAATAGATTTTATTTTTGTAAACAAATATAGATTTTTAAATTGTAGTATTGGTTTAAAAATAAATGGTTCTCTAATGAAGTTTGACATTGCTGTTATGGAGGCATTTTTTAAATGTGAGATCTAATCTTCATAACTGCACCAATGTTTAAAGCTACTACTCTTTGATAAAACTCACTATTACATTACCATTGTTGCACTCACCTCTTAGATGATATTTTTATTTATTACTTTTCTTTGCATTACTTTTTTTTCAAGAAGATAGTAGGGTGAAAAGGCTATTTTTAATTGGGTTTTTCCCTAAACGCAACATGAACTGGACTTGAAATCCATTCCCTAGTTTATGTATCTCTACAATTGGCCCAACCTTTACTTACTTAATTTCCCAGATGTAAAGGAACCGAAGACCTGTTGCACAGTTGCTTTCCTAAAGCAATATAAAACTAAGAGTAGTTCTGCCACAAAGATATGAAGCAACAAGTAAGGCAGTATCACTAGGGAACAGTTAGCCTATATGCAGACTCTTGTGTGTGGTCTAGCGTGTGCAGACATATATTTCCATGTACAAATGAGACGTGGAATGCTAGTTATTCTCTCAGCCTATAATTTCTCATACAACTCTGTGCAATGGGGGGGGGAGGGTGAGAGGGAGAATGGGGGAGAGAAAGAGCAGGAGAGAGAATGGTTTTCCCAGCATCCAAACCCTTTTTTGCCTGAACTGTATCCAGCCATCTCCAGGAGGGAAATCAGTTATACGCTAAACAAGCATTACATCATTTTTTAAATTCTTCACTGATGAAGGAAAGGTAAAAACTAAAGACCAGCTGAAAATGACATTTTTATTTTGTAAAAAAGGGGTGGGGGAAGCTTTAATAAGATGCTAAGCATAAAAAGAAGAAAAAATCTAATGCTGAATTCATTTTCAGCTACAAGTGGGCTAATATGGAATCAATAACATATATTAATTCTGAAACATTAATAAAACATTCCAACACCAGTTTTACTTCCCTGAACTTAGCTCACTTTTTAAAATACTTGCTACACAATTATAGATGTCATTTGTATTTTTAACAACAGCAAAAAGGAAGTAGGTCATTTGTAAATCAGTGTTATTTTACAATGAAATGATTGTAATAAATGTACAGTATTCAGAACCAAATTTTAAAATGATCAATCAATTATAAAAAGTGCAAATAAAACACAAATATAAAATACTTCCATTCATTGTTTTTTTTTAAAAAAATCATTAAACCCCTTATTTGGAGTTAAACTTACTAAATGCCAGTTCATTTACTTTTAGCACACAGGGATGGGATGGTGTGGGCTGTAGATCAGAGGTAGTATTCAGCTAGTTCTGACAGGTTCTGGAGAACTGGTAGTGGAAATTTTGAGTAGTTCAGATAACCAGCAAATAGGCTGGCCCTATCCTGTCTCCCAGCCTCCCAGCTGATCTTCTTTTGTTGCCCTGAACAGGAGAACGGAGCTGGAAAGCAGGTTAGTGTGGTGGGGAAGAAATAAGGATTTTACAGTAACCTTCCCCTGCCACGCCCACAAAGCTACAGAACCAGTAGTAAAAAAAAAATTGAATCCCACCACTGCTGTAGATGTAAATACTACTAATCCATTTCACACTAAAAAAAACCCAGATATTTTCTTTTTTTAAAAAGAAAATTAATTCACATCTTTAAGCGAGAGAAAAATTCCACAGAAGAACTGGATTTTTTTTTAATGCTTGCTATGTCTGTGCAAAATTGTAAAGGATTACCTCACTTTCATGAAGTTTTGATAAGCTTTTATGACCAGACCTGGAATGTGTTGAACACAAGGCAGCCTTTGGAGACCTTGCAGAAGCTACCGTTGGTCCAGGACACAGCAATGCAAATGGTTTTGGGAGCATCTTGATAGGCTTATGTGACTCCATGGCTTTGCAGACTGCACTGGTTATAACTCACCGTGGTGGTTATTATCTTCAAAGCCCCATTTGACGTAGATTCTGCCTCCCTGAGGGACCACACCTCTACAATAGTTTCTGTCTGTCAGTGCTCTATCACAAAGCGTTGATCCCATCAGTCAAACACTATCAGAATCCAGAAATTGTGCTACTGTACAGTATTACAGTGCCTCCACTCTGGAATGGGATCACCCCAGAAATTGTGTGTGTATTTCTCTCTCTCTCTCTCTCTCTCTCTCTCTCTGTGTGTAAAACTAATTATATTTCCTCAATTATTATATGATGTTTAACCTCATATTAAGTTTAATATTGTTGTAGAGAATGTCTTTTTTCTTTTCCCATGAAACCCAAACATATGCTTTTATTGTTTTACATCAGCAAACTTGATCTGTGATTTTTCATATCTGACTTGAGAATCCCAATTATATACTGCCTATTTTCATCCTATGTTCTAATGCTAGTTGAATGATTGATCCCAAAACTGCCCCTCTCTTAATATATGGTATCATTACCACATTGCAGCTACTTAAATGATTGCCCCATCTCCACCCCATCAAACTAGTAATATTATGCCAAGAACCAAACTACTGTATTTTCATTGACCAAAAATAGGATCTGTACATGCCATAATGCATAAGTCTATTTGCATGCAGAGAGGTGATTCTGTCCCTTCAGTTACTTTTCTATTTGATGACCATCCAATATTTGCCTACAACTATAATATTAAGTCTATTTTACCAGATGATTTGGAGAAACCTGACCTTACTCTTGGGCACTAACCTTAATCTCACTCTGGCAGCATAAGATTTATGGTCCTTAGTGAAATTTGCCCCAGATATAAAATATCTGAATAGCCCTACTTTTCAGCTAAAGATAAAACATATGCAGGAGTTGATGGTGGATTCAAGGCAGTCTCCCCTCAGGCAAATTCTACTGCCTGGAACTCATATTTTGCTCTTCTATCATCATGAAAGAGGCTGTCAGAACATTCAGCTGCACTCCACAAAGAGACAGAAGGAAAGGGCATTCAGGAAACAGTATTGGGGCTGATGAGTCAAATTGCTCTTAGGTTTCACATGACACCAAGACAGACCTGCAAATGAATCTCTTCTTTAAAATCCCCAAAACTGGAATTAACACATGCCACAAATTAATCTTAATTGTCATTGTGTGTATAGTAAATAATGTAGAAGTTGGAAGATATGGTCTTAGTAACCATTTTCCATTTTAATTTTTACAGATTGATATGCTTAAATTTCTTTCTTTTTTTAAAGATGAAAATGGCATTCATGGGAATCCCTCCTTATTTTATTCCCACAACAGTCCTGGAAAATATATTGGGTTGAGATGAGGGATTGTCTGGAAATGACTCTTTGAGATCCATTCTCAAGTCGCTAACTCAATTCCATACTTACGCTAATTGCTTG